TCCGGGCAATGCCCAGCTGAGGTCCCATCATTCAACTAGCCTAACCACCAGACATATAAGGTCACCTGCAGATGATTCCAGTCCCCAGCCATTGAGTCACCCCCAGCTTTCTTTCAAATGTCCCCAGCTAAGATCCCAGATAACATGCAGAAACATGCCATTCTCTGCTCAGATCCTTGACCCATAGAATCTGTGAGCACAATGGTTGTTGTATACCACTGACTTTTGGGGCGGTCTGTGACACAGCAGTGTAAGCTGAAGCATGTGATACGGAGGCTGAGCAGTTACAGAGTCTGCTGGCTGCAAGCTGGAGAGTCAGGAAAGCTGGTGGAATAAATTGCAGTCAGAGTCCAAAGGCCTGGCAACCAAGAGTATCAGTGCTGTTAAGTCCCAGCCCAAGAACCCTCGTGCAGTCAGGCAGAGAGAGAATCCAAACTCCCTCCAGGTGTTTTTGTTACATTAGGATCCTCAATGGGTTGGATGATGCCCACCCACACTTGCTAGGGGGTGAGGGGGGACAGGCATCTGCTTTGCTCTGGAACATCAATTTAGATGCTAGTGTCTTCTGGAAACATCATCACAGGGACACCCACAAATGATGTTTAATCAGCTATCTGGACATCCTGTGGTCCAGTCCAATTAATACATAAAATCAACCATCACACTTTCCCTAGCTTTAGGTTCCCCACTCATTTCATTATTTCCTTTTATTCCTTTTTGTTTCACATTCTGGCTTTCTCCCAGCTACTTCCTTAGGGACAGTACTACTCTTCAATTCAGGCAAGAGTGTCCCTGTCCTGAGCCTCCAGCTGGGCCCCTCCTAATGCAGTGAGATGTCACCAGGGTCCATCTGTATGTGCTGTAGACCAGATCATGTGCCCAACAGATATGACCTTGAAATTCACCATTCAGACAGCACTATGTAAACTATTAAGGCCTGGAGCCTGATCTGTCTTCCCAAGGGCACACTTGATCATCAGCGTGGCTACGCCTGGGCCTGAGGTGTGGCCATGTGACTACATTCAGGCCAAAGGTATATAAATACAATCTCAGGGGCGCCTGGGTGACTCAGTCAGTTAAGCGTCTAACTTCAGCTCAGGTCATGATCTCACGGTTTATGAGGCTGAGCCCCAGGTCGGGCTCCATGCTGACAGCTCAGAGTTTGGAGCCTGCTTCGGATTCTGGGTCTCACTTTCTCTCTGTCCCTCCCCCTCTCATGCTCTGTCTGTCTCTCTCTCTCTCTTAAAAATAAATAAACATAGGGGCACCTGGGTGGCTCAGTCGGTTAAGCGTCCGACTTCGGCTCAGGTCATGATCTCGCGGTCCGTGAGTTCGAGCCCCGCGTTGGGCTCTGGGCTGACAGCTCAGAGCCTGGAGCCTGTTTCCAATTCTGTGTCTCCCTCTCTCTCTGACCCTCCCCCGTTCCTGCTCTGTCTCTCCCTGTCTCAAAAATAAATAAACTTTAAAAAAAAAAAAATTTTTTTTTAAATAAATAAACATTAAAAATTTATTTTAGTGCTCGTTTTGGCAGCACATATACTAAAAATTTATTTTAAAAAATACAATCTCAAAGAATCTCTTTAAAAATATGTATGCTAGATAGACTTCTCTCGTCACCATTGTCCTCCTCCTTTCCACTGACAATTCCCAGAAGAATCTTAGCAGCCACTGTCTAATATGTCAGAGACACCCTGCAGCCCTGGAATGTTCAACTACAGAAAGTTATGTAAATAATAAATAATAATAATAATTAATAATAATAATAAAAGTCTTTACTTTTATATATATGGTGATCCCCGTTGTAGCATTTAAGCCTGATCCCTAAAGAAGGTAGTCCTCTAATCTTGCATTGTTTCATATCACCTTTCATACTGTTGCCAGGATGATCAATCTAACAAAGTACAATTGTCCCATCCCAGTCTAAAATTCCTCCATGTGTCCCTACTCTTCAAAACAGTGTTTCTCAAAAAACAAAACAAAACAAAACAAAAAACAAAAGAGCTATAGATCTCCGCATTCAGATCATCAATGGGAAGGAGGCAAATTGCTAAGGATCAGAATTGCTAAGTTCTGATCTGCACGCTACAATGGGAGAGCCAGTGACCTTGGCCTCATCTCCCACTTTGCTTCATCATCCCACCATCAACTCCAGTCATACTAAATTACTTGGAATCCTCTGAACACATAATGTTCTTCTTCCATCATTTCCATGCCTTTACACCTTTACATCAGGCTACAATGCCCTTGACCCCTCTCCTTCTCTATTCTTTCTACTAAAAACCTTCTTTCTCATCTTCCAATATTCAACTCATGTTTCTCTGAGGGTCCCTATCAGGATGAGCCAATCCCTGCTTTGACCTCTATTCAACCCTGTTCAATTCACTACTATAGGACGTAAAATATTTCATCATAATTTTATTCCATGTCATCTTCCTTCTAAACTGTCAGCTACTTGAGGACAAGTACCTCCAGCTACTAATTAGTGTTTGTCTAAGACAAACAGGAAAAGAAAGAATGAAAAGAAAACCACTCATCATTCTGTAGTAGTCTACTACTTGAAGAGTAACTAAAATTGTTTTGAGTAAAATACATGTGCGTAAACTAGGTGATTACTGAACATACTATAGATAAGAATTTTTTCTAAAACAAACTCAAAATCAGTCAAGCACATGAAAAAATGTGCCTAAAAAGCTTTATATACAAATAAACTTTTGTTTCTTCAGAACTACTTAAAATTTAGTATTAACAACAAAAAAAAAGCTTCTGAATTTTTTGAATATAGAGAGAATAAAAGTGAGGAACAGGAAGTTCTTCCTAGAGATTAAATAATGTAGCAAATAAACACACTAATTTCACCCAGGAAATGGGTAAGTTATGGAGTAGCAGATTCTATATCTAAAATAGTATTAACCCAAACATTGAAATCCAGAGAAAGAAAATAGATAAATGGTATTTTGAAAATTGGTTACATTTCTCAGAGAAAAGTTCTATTGTATCCAGATACATTAAAATTAATCAAATAATGGATTAAAAATCCTAGCAAGTACCTGGCGTACAGCAGGCTATGAATAAATGATATTTGCTTTTCTCTTCTCACACAGTCATGATAATGGAACATCCCATTCAAATGAAAAATAAACACTGCATTTTAAAATTGGCAATCTATTTAGATGCCTGCTCTTGATTCAACTGAGACACCCTATTTCCACCCACAGGCTCCGTCTTGCTCCAGATTCTAGTATCAACTGAATCACAGTCAAGGGTTCAATTAAATCCATAAAATTTATTCTGTATCAGTTCAACACTTTTGAGATCTTTCCTTGTCCTGATTTACTTTCATACTTAAATTCTAGTAACTAAGGCATATTCCTAGTGTTTATTCCACTTTCAACAAAGTGCTTATCAGTGCTTATCAGACTGCAGCCCCCACAATAAGTCCAGCATCTCCTAAACCTTGGGGTGTCAGTCATGGCCAGCAGGGGTAACTAAACACCTGGTCCATGTCTCTAGAAAAAACTGTATTCTGCTAGTCTTCGCCCACTGTGTTTTATGATCTATTCCTGCCATAAACCCCACTGAAAGAAGTCCTTCTTGTCCCAAGAAGGTCTTGTAATTACACAACTGACAGTGGCATTTTCTTGGGGGTCATGCTCCTTAAATTCATAAATTCCAGGTTTGTTTACATAAGCATGCTAGACTGACTTGCTCTATCTTATTAAAATCATTCCATAGGTGGGGCCCCTGGGTGGCTCAGTCAGTTGAGCATCTGACTCTTGATTTCAGTTCAGGTCATGATCCCAGGGTCATGGCATCGAGCCACACATCGGGCTCCAGACTGAGTGTGGAGCCTGCTTAAGATTCTCTCTCTTTCCTTCTCTCTCTCTCCCTCTGCCTCTTTCCATTTGCACTCTCTCTCTCTAAAGAAAAAAAAATCATTCCATAGGTAATGATCGCCAGGAAAAGCCATTTGCATCTTTAAAATTTGCCCTGATCATTTCTTGTATTCTAACACCTATCTTAATTGCAATCTAACACTTTATTGTCAGATACTATTTTATTCCTTATTAAAAGCAAGAGTCTCCTCTATCTGGTCTCTTCCCGCCCAGGAAGACCACAGTTCAAATATTCCACATAGGTCTTCTCTTCAGTTAAAGACATCTTGCCTACTGGCCTAAATTATTTATATGATTGCATAATCTATTCTAGGAGGACCTGTGGAAAACATCTTACACATTACTTGTTCTTTCTCTCTAATAACTGCTCTAAGCCATGCAACTAATTGCATCATTCTTTATCATGGCTAATAGGAAACTCAGAACCAAAATGTTCAGCCCAGCTCACAGGTGTTGATGCCTCATTTTGTTAAAATGTATGTATTTCACATCTTAACCTTATATCTGATTTCATGTTATTTTTCATAATCTTATTTTTCATACCGGATTCATACTGTTTTTCCGACTCTTATGTTCAGAACATATGGACCTGTGTGCATTGATTTAAACTAGTATTGGAAGAGTTATGATATAAATACATAAAATAGAAACCTATACGTAACAGAAAACAATTAAGACACAGAATGGCTTGACCTCTTCTGGTTCAAATTATTAGCTCCTCCAGGAGTTGTATAACTCACTCAGTTAGAAGGGCCCTACAGCATAAGAATACATTAACGATGCAGTAAGAAGCATATGTCATATGAATAGCCACACACAACATGCAGTATAATTAAGGTTATTCAAACAGCCATGAATTCAAGGTCAATATGGTCTTCTTGTCTTTCGAGACTGATTTCAGCAGGATGTACAACTTAAAAATATACAAGGGAAGTACCTTAATTGATTCTTGTTGCAAAAGAAATAAAACGAAGAAGTCAAAATCATATTGATTCTACCTCTTAAATAATTTTAAATTTACTTCTTGCCATCTGTACTACGACCACTTGCACCTAGAATAGAAGTTTTAAGTGGATACCCTATAGACAGGAAGGGTCTTTTAAAAACGCAAATCGTAGCACTTAGGCTGTAAAATTTCCCATGGCTTTCTATTGATCTTGGGATGAAGTTCAAAGTCCTTAACAGCCAAAAAGGTCCATGTGACTAATGCCTGCCTTAATCGGTCACCTCTTCTAGGCTCACCCATCCCTTTCTTAAGGGTAGACATGTTCGTGAAGCGTGTACCCTATAAAACAAACATATACACAACAATGACCAATTATACTCAAGCTTTTTCTCTCTGCAGAAGTAACCCTCTGGAAAGAGTGATCTGCTTTGATTATTTCCACTTTATCCACCCATCAATCCTGTAGTCTCAATTCTGACCTCAGCCCTTTTTGGTAAATGAAAACATCTGGATAACTGGTGAACTCTGAGTTGTCAAATCCAAGAGATAGCCATCCATTTCTAATCACTCTTGACCTCTTTGTGGGATCTGACATGATTTACTCCCCAATTCTCAAAACACTCCCCTTTCCTTGCCTTTCAGAACACCACTGGATTAGCTTCTCTCTCCTTGTTTTTAATTACTTGTGTCACCCCAGGTTTTGCCTCTCAGTTCTGACCCTGAGTGATCTTCTACTCCTGGAGATTCACCTATGCGCCTAACAATCTCCAAATCTTCATCTGTGCCACTCTTTCAAGTGATATTTGGGTCCATGCTGCCGACCATCTATTGTGCGTTACCACCGTGATCAACCACAGCCACCTCCGTGTTGACATGCCCACTGTCACACCTTCCTTCCTTCAGAGTGTCGTCTACTCTCAAAGCTACTTTAAAAACTGGGTATCTAACAAATCTGTCTTCTTTTTTTTTAAGTGTATTTATTTATTTATTTATTTATTTATTTATTGAGAGAGAGAGAGAGAGAGAGAGAGAGAGAGAGAGAGAGAACCAGCAGAGGAAGGGCAAACAGAGGGGAACAGAGGATCCAAAGCAGGCTCCAAGCTGACAGCAGAAAGCCCGATACAGGGCGCAAACTCATGAACTGTGAGATCATGACCTGAGCCAAAGTCGGGCTCCAAACCGACTGAGCCACCCAGGCACCCCAACAAATCTGTCTTCTCCATCCACTCCATCCACTTTTTCAAGAAGGGCTTCTCTAAGTGGTATTAAGTTAAAAAATGTCCCAGGGGAATGATAAAAAGTGAGCTAAGTCAAAAAACCCTCTTCCCTATGAAAATATAATAAATTTTTTTCTTAAAAATCAAATAGATTCTCCCAAGGGTAGTGTTTCTCAGAGCTTTAATCTACTAATACGTATTATGCCTCTTCAAGATCTGTGCTTGGGATGCAGCATTTCTCCCAAACTAGTCAGGCACTTTTGCTAAGAACACTAATTAGACAGCTACTAGAAATAGTACACAGCAAAACACAGTTTGGGTTTGCCAGTTACTAAATTTGAGGTGAACTTAAGCAGAACTCATAAAAACAGTGTCTCAAGGACCGATAAATGTATAAGTTTCTATGCTGTGGGCAGGGGTAGGCAGCCCAGTTGCGCGAATGGGCTCGGAGCATCCCTTCTCAGAGGACTATTTAGGAGACGCTGAGTCTTCCTTCCACCTGTGCTAAATTACACAGTAATTTCCTGCTCTTTATTTTGATTAATAAATCAAATGAATTCATCAAATATTGATTAAACACCTGTTCCATACAAGACATTATGGTAGTTATTAAGGATACCAAGAAGGGCTGAACGTAGTTTTGTCCCTTCAGGGCTCAGTCTAGGGGGAAACACATTTGTAAAAAATTTAATTAATGTGACAAAGTGCTATGAAAGAAGTATGTATTAATTTCTGTGAGAGCACAGGGGAAGAAATGATTTCTTTTTCTTGGAGAGATAAGAGAGGGAATCAGGAGACTTTTAAGTAGGTGGTTTATAGTCTCTTTGCCAACAAACAAAAAAACATAAGATACAACATATTACTAGTTTATAAATAAGAAATTGAGCTTATTATGGTTAAATTTATCTAAGTTCACAAAGCTGATGAGTAGCAAAACAAACTTGAACTAAGACTGGTCAGACAAGACTGAAGGAAGAGAAGGTAAGAAGCATGAAAAGATGAAAAGGTATGTTTCATTGGGGAAAACAGAAGCACGGAGGTATGGCTGAGAGGGAACACCAGGTCTGTGCTCAGCGGGGGGCTGGGCAGGTTACCGGGGAGTAAGCGGTCTGAGAGGATTCCCTGCTTGCCAGCGGGCCTGTGACTGTTTCATGGGTGCTGACAGAAGCCAAGAGACTCACGGAGCAGCAAGTAAGCAGCATGAGCGTGACGACGGTCACCCTGCTCCTCCGGGGGTTCGACATGGACGCCCGCACATGTTGCACCACAGGGGAGGACTGTGGGTCATGGAGGGCAAGTGGCTTTCCAAATTCTAGAGCAAGCTGAACCGATCCTGCTCTTTGCCCTGGGAGAAGACTGTCCCTCGAGGCTGTTAGTTGCAAACACAACCCTGAGAAATGGCCCAGGTAAAGGGTAGTCGGGGCCTTGCAGTTTTGGCATACTCAGTAAAAACACACAGGACGTCAGGAAAGGTGGATTACCTCTCCCGATAGGGGGAAGATGTAAGAGAAATACACTTCACAAATTTCTATGTCTTTTGAATTCTTGACAAAGATGACTTTTTAATGAATTAGAATTTTTAATTACCCTGTGGTAAGTATGTGATTATGTATGTGATTTACACAGGAACACTGAGGTGAAGCCCTTGCAACTCTTCTATCGTGACCTTCTCCGTGTAATAATGTTTCAGGGCTCCTGGGCTTGAGTCCAAGGGCAGCAATGAAAACAGGCAATCCCACTGTCCTTTATCCTAATGATCCTGACTTTCCTGTAGCCCATCAAACACTTCGTGATCTGGCCCCTTCTTCTTTGGTGTCATAGGCTTTCTCCCCATTTGGAAAGGTCAGTTTTTGATCCTGAGCTACCATATGTAAAATGGTTCCTCACAGATCATCCCTGGAACTACTAAGGTGCTCTAAACTAACTTCGGAGCCAAGAATTATTTCTAAAGGTATCCCTGAATCAGAGGACCTAATCACGGCCATGTCTGTAAGGACAAATGGAACATCATTTCTCTCTTAACTACTGTGACAGTCTATTGGTCTTGTTTCCAGTTTTCTCTTTGTTGGAAGCCATGCTGCATACTGCTTCCAAGGTAGTGTTCCTAGAGAGAAATCTGAGAACACTACCCTTCTAAACTAGTTCACACTTTCAGATTCAAGATTCAAGAAGCCTAACTAAAACTGTCCTAAACTGAAACAGGAATGCATTGGAAGCATATTGAGACATTCCAAAGGACACTGAAGACAAAGGAGGGGCAGGGAACAAGATGGGCTAAAGAAAGGAAAATCAAGACTAGAATGTTTACAAATCTCTTACTCTGTGGCTTTAGTTTTTTCCTGCTGCACAGCAGCCTTCTTCAGATAGCAGAAAATATGACTGCCATATATCTTCCCTCCAAAGGGAGAAACTGACCCAACTCTCTTGGTTCCAAATTAAAAAACTCCAGGAAGAGGATCACCTGATAGAATTGGCAGTGTTTGTACTAATTATAAGGATGAGCTAGATGGGCGAAGGAAAAGGAGAAGGTCCTAGGAAAGCTGTTCAATTTATACACACAATCCCAGCAGTGTTTGATACACATCTTAGAACATCTTCCCAATGCTTACGGCAAAAGCTCAAACTCCCACATATTGCATTTAAATTTCTCAGTGATAGAATTCCTGCCTGCTTTTCTAGTTTCAGTCTCTTGATCTCCACTCTCTCCTAACTTGCCTCCCTGTTGGGAGAGGTAATCCACCTTTCCTGACGTCCTGTGTGTTTTTACTGAGTATGCCAAAACTGCAAGGCCCCGACTACCCTTTACCTGGGCCATTTCTCAGGGTTGTGTTTGCAACTAACAGCCTCGAGGGACAGTCTTCTCCCAGGGCAAAGAGCAGGATCGGTTCAGCTTGCTCTAGAATTTGGAAAGCCTCTTGCCCTCCATGACCCACAGTCCTCCCCTGTGGTGCAACATGTGCGGGCGTCCATGTCGAACCCCCGGAGGAGCAGGGTGACCGTCGTCACGCTCATGCTGCTTACTTGCTGCTCCGTGAGTCTCTTGGCTTCTGTCAGCACCCATGAAACAGTCACAGGCCCGCTGGCAAGCAGGGAATCCTCTCAGACCGCTCACCCCCTGGTAACCTGCCCAGCCCCCAGCTGAGCACAGACCTGGTGTTCCCTCTCAGCCATACCTCCGTGCCTCTGTTTTCCCCCTAATTTTACTCAAGGTTATCTACTATTGCTGGCACTTTGTGTACTTTGTTTTGGGGTACATTCATACACAAAGTGATACTCAAATATATATATGTATTTTGGAGGCTGCAGGCACATCAGGCTATAGTTTGCTTTTTCCTTTCATAAATGCTGTAAGTCATTTGTCCTAATGTTGGTTGGATAGCCTTCCTCTCCTGGTTTAAGTGTCCACATGGTTATCCATAATTTATCATTCAATAGATATTAACAGACATTTACATTACCTGCAAGTTTTTTCTGTGCAATGAAAATATACATATATAATATATTATAATATATATATATGTATATATATATTTAAATATATCCAATTGGTTTGTAGGAATACTTTCCTATAAATTGGAATCGCCAGGCAAAGGGCAACCAAAATTCAAATTTTGAGTGATAACTGCAGAATTCGCCCTGAATGTAGAGCCAGTCTTCATCAGTCTTCCTGCTCAGTATTTGTAGATGAGAGTACGCTATTTCCTCCAATCACAGGAGCATTAGATGTCACTATTTTTAATTTTGACAATGTGATATTCATAAGAAATTAGTTTTCCTTTGTTAATGTTGAGCTCAAGCATCGCCCATATCCTTATTAGTCATTTATATCATTTGAATTTCCTCTTTATGTTCTTTTTTCATTTCCCTGGAAATATTAGTGTCTTTGTTACCAATTTATAAGAGCTCATTTGTGATTAAGGATGCTAACCTTTCTGTAGCTGTGCATTAGAAATGAAATGCCATAGGGTTTTTTTTACCCCATTTATTTCCCTATGATGTTTATTTTTTTGATTACACACACAGGTTATATATTCAAATGTAATGTTTCTTTCTTTCTTTCTTTTTTTTTAAGAAAGGCAAAGGGAAATCACTGAAGGATTTAACACAAGAAATAAAGATGAGGGGCACCTGGGTGACTCAGTCAGTTAAGCACCTGATTCTTGATTTTGGCTCCGGTCAGGATCTCATGGTTTGTGAGATTGAGCCCCGCATTAGGCTCTGCCCAGAGCCTGCTTGGGATTCTCTCTCTCCCTCTGTCTTTCTCTGTCTCTCTGCCTCTCCCCCACTCACTCACACACTTTCTCTTTCTCTCTCAAAATAAATAAAGTAAAAAAACAAACAAACAAACAAAAACCTAAAGATCAGATTTGAGTTTTAGTGGGAAATCAGTTGGAAAGCAATTGGGAAGTGGACTGCTATGAACCAGGAGCCAATGTCAGCCAACTGGGTGATCCAGACATGAAAAGGCACTAGATAAAAGCACGGTAGTGGCCACAAGGGTGGATAGAGAAATTATAGGGGCGTTTGTGAAGGAGAATCTAGAGAATCTGGAAACTGATTGAGTTGGTGGACTGGGCTGGAATTTTAAAAATTAAGTGTTAATATGGGGTGTTATCAATTCAGTCACATTTCTAACTGAACCCTAAAGAGTTCAGCACCACCAACATTCCTCATAAAAGAGGTGAAGGGAGGGAAAGAAACAATTAATAAAAGCCTGATCACAAGGCAACTGAATGTGAGCGGAGAAATCATCACTGATTGGAACTTCCAAAAACATTTATAAATTAACTCCAGAACAGATTTATGTTTCTACATGTTTTAATTACAAATCAAATATCCTCTGAAAGCTCTAGGCTTAAATATTTAAAGTATATAAAGTTTTGTCATATAGGATCCTGTAAGGAGATAGATTGGTAATGTCAAATAGGATTATTTAAGAAAATATTTGTAAAGGGGAGGGTATAGGAAGACTGTAAGAGATACTGCGGTTCTCCCTAGCTAGTAACTGTGGAGAAGCTGGTACTGCCTCTTAGGGGGCAGGACAATAACGTTATTTGCCAGAATCCCAAGAGAGTTATGAGCTGTGTGCTTAGATAAAGGGACGCAGGCAGTCTGCAGTGACTCTGCAAGGTGAAGACGGCCACAGCCCACCTGCCGGGTGTCTCCCCAGGCATTCCTTCCCACGGACTGCCAGAGGCAAGAATTCATCCAGACACAAAGCAGAGTGGGGCGTCTACCTGAAGGGGCAGACACATGCCAGCACACTGTACCTTTGTGTCTTTCACATGGCAGAAAACCTACGCCCAACACAGGGACACACAAAGACCCACCGGAACTATGACAAGCAAAAATGTGATAAAACGCAGCAAAGAATGAACTCCTACTTACTTGTTGAAGTCAATTATATATGGTAGAAACTACCCCTGTTCACATTCACTCAGCATACATCCAGGAAAAGTACTTTCCTCTTAATCTTAATTCAATTAATTTAAATGACAATGGTTTGTAAAAGACTAGTCTTTTGCTCTTAAACTACATAACAGGAATAAACCCGATTTCACTGTAGGATTAAAGTATAAATAATAATTTATTAGCTAAAATAAGGAAGGAAAACATAGACTATGTCTCCAAGAATACAAGATTAATACTATGAGCATGAGTGAGGGCAGAAAAATATTTGACAGTTTGGTAATTTTATTACCATGAAGAGAAAGGGATTTCTATTATGATTTCTTTGCCTGTTCCCTGATCCAGCATAAAGAATTACTTAAATGTCTCAAAAAAGAATATCTGTAATAAAATTAGCTATGTAGCATTTTGTACAGACTAGTACTGTTTAGTTTTTTCCCCATACCATGTGGCCCTCAAAACCCACTGAAAGGGAAGGAAAACCATTTTCTGAGAAGTTGAGTTGTTTGCTAAAGGTCCCATAGCTAATAAGTGATAGAGTCAAGACTAATTTATTTCAAAACTGAAAGTTCATTGTTATTCACTAAGATATGTGACAGTAATATGGGATAAATTATAAGTTAAAATGTCTGTTTTTTCCTGTTTGTTTTTCCCATGCCAACATTTCAATGCTTTGTCATACCAACTATTTTTCCTTGTTTTGCATTAAGACATCTCCAAAGATGAGTAGAATATTAAATAGTTAATAACCTGAAGCTTATTTGTGCCCCTAAACTTATAAAAGTAAAAAGAAGAGGTGCCTGGGTGGTTCAGTTGGTTAAGCGTTCAACTTTTAATTTCGGCTCAGGTCATGATCTCACTGTTCAGGAGATTGAGCCCACAATCTGTGCTGATGGTGCAGAGCCTGCTTGAGATTCTCTCTCTCCCTCTCTCTCTCTGCCCCTCCCCCAAACTCACTTTCTCTCTCTCTCTCTCAAAATAAATAAACACCTTTTTTAAGTAAAATGTAGTTTTGTTTTGTAACTAAAGCTCTTAACTATACAAAAGGTATCCTCATACCTTTTACCTGACAAATAGCTCATGCTCATGAATTCCTCACTCTTTCAATGTTATTCCTATTTCCTTTACCTTTTAAGTTGATAAAAAAAAAAAAAAAAAAAAAAAAAAAAAAAAAAAAAAACTTTGTTAAAAATGACTTTTCCCCCCAGAGTGGAATGTATTCTAAGCCTGGTGAGAACAGACCGTTAATCTCTTCATTTTATTGACCTACTTCAGTTTCAGCTCATTAAACACAGACATTTTCAATGATCAAAAGAAAATGAGCCAAATGTAACTTGCTACAACCTTACTAAATAAGAGAGTTGTTCAAAAAGTAAATAAATCTGAACAGGTAATTTAATATTGATAATATTCCATTTAAAGAATATATATGTAATGAACAAGGACATCCAGAAATGTTTACATTCCTTTGATCAACTGAAGGCAAAGTCTGTGCATGTTATCGGACTCCTTCTCAGTTCTTACCCTCTCCCAAAAAGAATATTGAAGAAATCGTGAACTAACGTCCCTTGAAACTGTAAGACAAAGAAAAGAAAAGCCTATGAGCTCTAAAAAGATAGCTGCAAAGATTAATTATATTGCCTATAAAGATTTATAAAAGCTAAAATAAATGTGGTTATCACAGCACAGAAGGAGAAGAAAACTAGTAATTCAAACCCATTACCCTAATAAGAGTAATAAACAAATTATAAAATAAGAAATGTTTACTAGGTTCTAAATATGACTGCATTTGAAACATATTTAAGTTCACAGCTGAACCATACCAAAATGTGCATGTCTCATTAGCAATGACTTAAATAATCCTTCTATTTAGGTACAATTTCCTAATACCTCTTGTGACACATCCTAAATAAATAACAAACTACACTTGATACAGAAAAAATTTTTTTTCTAAGATAGTAAAAGAGATCTAACGACTAGGTATTTCTAAAACAGGAATTGTTGGAAATACTTTGGAGACAGATTATACCTGCTACCATATATGGTTTTGTGGTTTAGCAGCAATTATTCGTTTGCTTGTTCTGAAAGGCTATGGTCTCTCTACTTGGTCTGCATGGAGTCTGGACCCCAAGCTGGGATCTTTTAATAAACAATCTTCCCAGCTCAGGAATAATTCCACAGACAAGTGAGATGTGCTTTACTGCCAACATGGAATTAACAAGGGTGGGAGGGTGGGAGATAGAAAAACTGAAATCATTTTCTAGTTCCTTACTATTAATTCCTCACAGAAAGGAAAACAAACAAACAAACAAAAAAACAGAAAGAAGAAAGAGAAAGAAATTAAATGAAACACAAACCAACCAATCCAGAGTCAAATATAAATTATATTTAGGCACATTTATTTTTCTCCATTCTCCCAAAAATAGATGAGTTAACGCTCTAAGTCAGATCAGTCACTGTCTACATGATATAAAAACTGTGTAAATTAATCCCTTAAATATTAAATAATCTTCCTTTCTTTGCAGGACATTTGAGGAAACCTTCTTCTGGACATTTGTTTGGCAATCATTTACTCTGTTTTCAAAAATGTTGGAGAATGCAAATAAAAACTCCTTTAAATTTAAATTTAAAAGGGCTGGGTCACTTTATAGAAAGTTATGGCAGAGGTAC